CTAGATATATTTTCTTGATAAAAAATATTTGAAATTATAAATTATTTGGTATTCTTGAAAAAATTACGTTAGATGAAGAAAATAATTTTCATGATTTTACATATTCCTGTTTTCTTCAAAGAATTTTATTATTTGTGATATTTATTTTTTAAATTACCTACCTACTTGTAAGTTTAAACATTATATAGAAGCATATCTCCATAAAAGTTTCATTTCACTTTTGAAGGAAATAGTTTAAGAGTCAAGGGTCCGGCGGTGTGAAAAATGTTTAGTAGCTTATACATGGTTGTGCAGAAGTATTGAAATATTTTGTTTTTGTTTAAGAATATTTAATTGAAAAAAATCAAAATCTAACATAAAACATACTAATATTTAAATATAACTTCTAAACATGAATAAAGAGCAGAATGTTGGAAAAAACGAACAGGGGGAAGACCTCAAGAAACCAGATTATCAATGGAAAGATATTACGAGTGATTTTTTTCATAATGTTGAAGCCCTCGATTTGGGAGAGTTACTTCATTACGAAATCTTTGGACTATTTGAGGCAATGTCTGCAATTGAAATGATGGATAAAAAAATGGATATTGGAATGGTTGATAGGAAAGAAAAAATTCCACTAACACTCGAAATAGCTATTCAAGTAAAACAAAAATAATTGAAACTTTTTTGTGATTATTATGTAGGTTTTTTTTTTCTTGTTAGACTGGAGAGATCAAACTTCTCGATTTAGAGTATTCAGAGCTGATTGGAATTTTCGATGCTCTTTTTTCCTGTCTCGTTTCCTGGCTTGAAGGACATTCTCCAGTGCAAACAATATTCACATGCCTTTACCTTCATGACACTAAGGTTATTCAAGACGAATGTTTAGCAAGTTTTTGTAATGGAATACTGAAACTTACACGCGTCATTCGAAGTTTTATAACAAGGTACCTAATTGTGTGTCGAAATTATAATATGTAATATATTTCATCTTTTACTTTTTTTAATTAAGTGCTAGCGTTTATGAGGAGGAAGATCATCAACCGGATCTATATGACTTTAATTTATGCAACGATCGAAGTGATCAAAGTGTTGTAGCTGAACTTAAATATATAGAGATTGAACTTCAAAAAAAACTTCGTGATGTAAATTCTGCAGATGAAGAATTCGAATATATCAGTGCTGTTTTCAATCGCATTAAATATATTCGAACATTGTTGCAGAGTCTTCTTCTTCTATTTCCTTCAAAATCCATTTCACCAAATGAACTAGGAATCCAAGAAGCGTCAAAATTGCTGACAAATGCTTCTGAATCCATTCCGGTGATAAAGAAAACAATTATGCGAGGCACGCAACCTGATTTAACAGAGAATATGCCAAATGTTATGGGATTTTCACCAATGGTTTACCATCGACTCCTGCCACCAACATTTCCACGCTATACAAAAATCAAGGAACGTATTGATGCAATTATTTACCTTGAAGAACTCTGTGGTAATCTTAAACATGCTAGTAAAGTCATCCATTGCTCAAATTTTCAAAGCACATTAAACTTTTTTATGGACTTCAGCAAGAAAAAGGGATCATGTCTCTTATCTCGAAGTGTTCTTCAAGTCCTTTATCTTCCTGCTAACAAAAAAGTTTTTGGAATAACAAGCTTTTCAGATATCCTTAAAGAATCGTTGAAAAGTTTCATTGCACCGCCTGTACTCATACCAAAGAATCCATTTTTTAATCATGCTGAGGTAAATTCAATTAAGTTGTTAATTAAACTAAAAATTATTAATCTTTTTCGACCTAGGTTAAAGAATGCATTGACTCGTTTTTCTTCTACAATGAGCACACATTTGTAACATTTTTGGAAATTTGTGGTTTTAATAGAGCTCGCCAAAGAGATAAAATTGCTCGACTACTTGACAGCTTTGCGAATTTACAAGATGAAGCAGAAAGAGTTGACACATTTTTACAGAAACTTTTGAATGGAGAAACATCTTCGGGAACTTGTCGCACAAGTTTCGGGACTTGGGTTTTATACTATTGCCTTCGTGCCATGTCAATGTTTTTACTGTCTGGTTTAGAGTTAGAGCTTTACAGTGTGCATGAATATTTTTATATATTTTGGTAAGAGAATTGAATTTAGTTCTTTCCTCTGATGATCGTCTAATGAGCCATTTTTTACTTTTAGGTATTTGTACGAGTTCTTATTTGGTTGGATAATTTCGGCGTTGACTCGAGCGGATTCGCTTCTTTTTGAACAAGAATGTATAAGCGAACAATACAAAAACTTGTCACGAGGACAGAAAAAATCAAAGTTAAAAAAGAAAAAAATGAAGCCTTATGGTCGTGACTTGATGATTACTCAAGCACTACAAAATCTATGTGGAGGTTATTACAAAGCACTTGCTGCATTTTGGAAGGCCAAAAAAATACCCCAGCCACTTCCTGAGTTTAATCTTGAACGAATTCGTTATGAACATCGGTTTGCTCCATTTGCTGAATTGACTACGCCACCGGCCATTGGATACAATGATTTTTGCTCACAAAGAAATACACTTTTAATTGAAACTCAGGAAAATTTGTTTTTCACAGCTGCTAAACATTTCTATCAAACAAAAACTATTCTCGAGCATATCCCAAATTTGGATACAGAGGCAAGTTAAAAACTATTTTTGTCTATTTAATGAAATATCTTTTTATACTCATATGCAATAATAATGAAAAATAAGTTACTAAAACAATTCCAATTTTTTTTTTAATTTCAGATGACCAACGTTTTAAAAATAGCAAAAACAAATTTTATTGTAATGAACTTATTAGCTAATGGACACAAGAAAGACTCGGAATTACCTCCAGAATTTGACTTTTCTTTGCATCAATGCTTTCCAATTATAAAGCAAAAATAAAATTACTCATAACTTGCTACATAGATTTGTAGATACACTGGGCAGAAACTGAACTTTTTTCCTTTTCTACTAAAACTTTCAAGAAATAAAAATTCTCAATTGAAAAATGCTTGTTTAATATTTTAATGTTTATTTAACAATACTGATATCTTCATTACGTTTATGTATAATGATGGAAATTTTGACTCTTAGAATAGAAATAAAGAATGAAAAATCGAACAATTAAGTCTAAATGCAGTAATTTTTGATTTAACATTAATATTTTTTCAACATTATTCTTATTTTTTTTCCAAAATCAAGAAAATGTATCATGTATCATTCTGTGAATGTACTGATATAGGTATTTTCATTGAAACTTTTATACCTTCAACATGTTATGAAAATGATTACACAATAGCCAGTAATTTTCAAAATTTTTAGAGTGATAAATTTGATAATTAGGTCTTTGGATTACAATAATAGATTTTACTTTTGAAGTAGGTAGACGCTTCGTGATAATATCGCAATATCTCTTTTGATTTACTTATTTCCATTACGTTTGAATTTTTTTTAATGATTATATAATGATTCAGTTAATAAAACTTAGAATGTGAAACTTCACTGTTATAATATTATCACTGTTATCATATCGGAGCAGATGGTTTTTGCTAAACAAAGCAAATCTTAGATTTTGTAAGAGCATGCGTCAGATTTTCAGACCTTCATGATGTGGAGAAGATGATTCAAAAGTCTTGTCTTGCATTTTGTTCTTTTCTTCACCTATATTAATTTTCTAAAATTGTGAAAAATCCTGAAAACCTTTAGAGTTTTCCGTCATTTTTGAGACATAAATGTGTCAAAAGAATATATAAATAATCAAAGAAAGCAGTAGATATTGTTTCATATAGGATTTAATTGACAAAGAAAATTTGTTTTCCCTTTTTGATGAAAGTTCGTGGATAATTCATATTTTCGTGCTTATTCATGTACAAATGTATGAAAAAGTTGATATTATTTTCAATTTCATTTAAAACATTCAATATACATTCAAACATGATTATGAAAATCATTGGATAAGATATCTAAAGTCTTAGTTTTAGTGATTGGCAACAGGAAAAATGCAATTTGTTGACGCAATTTAAAATGGATCAAAAATGTGAAAAAAATAGATGAAAATACGATACTATGTGGAAGGACTTAATTAATACAAGAATATATAATTTCAGTTTGAAAACTCTTGAAAATAGGATCCGTGAATATCCTGAATATCCTGCTAACTTTAATGAAAAATTAATAAAAGTGGGAAATATCAGCAAAGTACTGACACAGATATAGCTAATTAACAATCTTTTTCAAAGCTTTGAAGAGATTGTAATCAAGTGCTGTATGAAATCTTAATGGAGCTCTAAATGCAGATAAATGCTAATAATGTTGAATAAATTTCTTCTTTGTTATAATATTCACTAAATAACTACAAGTAATGTGAAAATAAATGAACGATTCATTACCATAAATTCGGTGTAGTTTTAAAGCTACAAATAAATTAAATAAAAGCCTAAAAATAAAAG